ACTGACTGGAATTACCTAACTATTAATTGCCCTAATAATATTTTCTCCACCATCCAATCACTGAGTGACCACAGAAAGACACTAGAAAAACAAAACTTTTTGCAGCCTTTATATAGTAAGTAGCTCTAGTCCATCACACACACACACACACACACACTCCCTCTCAAATTTCATTCATGTATGTTTTGTTTTACATATCTTTCATTATAATGATCCCTACATTGTCTATATCTTTAAGCAACTCTTTCATAATTATAAGTATCAACTTTTCAGTTTATTGAGCAATTAAGTAATTGAAGGTCATAAGTTTATCCTTCCAACATTGAAGGACAAGTCCCAGAGCAGTAAGGGGCTGAAGCTTTGCACTATCGTGTGCCAGTTTCCTATTTCTAGTGCTGTCTTTGGCTCCTGACATAATTTCCTTTATTGGATCTCCTCCTGCAAATGGTATTTCTTGCTTCAGTTAAAATTAAGAGCAATGGGGATAAATGTTTTCTAAGTGTTTTTAAAGTAGATGACTTTCCCCCTTTGTGAATGTTTTAGTTGCCAATCATTTGTGTGATGTTCAATAATGTTCAGGGAGATGGTAAAAATATCAACATGTTGCCTGTGGAATTGAAACCCCTTTTGATGTGCAGGAAGAGCTTCAACTCCATCTTGTTTTCATTCCACCCTGCAAAAAGATGCCCCTGAGTTATGCCAACACTGTTTCTACCCATCAGCCCCAGAAGAACCATAAAACAAATATGTTTTTTTAGCCTCTTCTTCTTCTTGATTCTCACTTCTCACTTCTCATCAATTAAAGGTCTCCACTTAAATTTTTCCTACAGTTTTGCTTGCATATGGGAGTCAATAAGTAAGAAACACAACAGAATTTTGCCAGAGGGCCTGTTGCTATTTACAAACAATTATTTGGCAGTGGCTCAACTTGGATGGTAGAAAGTGGCTGAAGTCAATGAGAAATGACCTTCGGATGAATAAATTGTTTCATGAAATCACAAAGTAAATCCCTAAGGCCTGAAATGACACCACTTCGCAATCCTGGGCTGTTGCCTGTTCCTGTAACAGGACCAAAACATCTGTATATAGCAAACAGTTAATATTTGAGTCATTTAGAAACAGGCTTTTTCCAACATCTGCCTGCATGATCAATGATATATAAATGGGGGGAATGCAAGAGGGTGGATCCCCCCTTAGTTTTACACATCCTTCTTTTTAAAAACCCTTAGTTTTGCTTCCAATTCTATGTTACATCTGAAAAGTTGGTATGGAGATGTGATGGTGAGATCATATGTTTTTTAATCCAATTCCATAGCAATTCAGAAGTTCAGGCTTTAATTCCAGATGGTGTCAAATACTTTGAAGCTCATGAACAGAAAAAATATTTTTTCACAAAGTTTTATTTATATGTGTTGCTTGAAATCTCTCTCCCTACTTCTTTTTTCCAGAGAGAAAAGCAGTTTGGTGCACTTCATATCGTTCATTCAAACCACTTCACACATTGAAGGAATGCGTTCATACAAAGTAGCTCTGCCATCACTGCTACTATGAACTCTGCTAACCATTTTTTTAGAAACTAAAGGAAGGGAAGACTTGTTTTTATTGCTTTATCTTTTCATCAGTGTTTCTCAATCTCAACAACTTGAAAATCCATGGACTATAATTCCCAGAATTTCCCAGCCAGCACGTTTTCTGAAGAATTCTGGAAGTTGAAGTCCACACATCTTCAAATTCCTATGATTGAGAAACACAACTTTACATGTAATAGTCTCTAAGTGTTTTTATTTATTTCATGTACAGTTATAGTAGACCCTTGGGCAAATAAATATTTTTCATCAAGGGATATTCACAGTGGAGTAGTACTTTCCTACTAAGAAGTCAGTTTTGCTTGATTAGTTTTGCTCAGTTCAATGGCTTTTACTCTCAGAAAAGCAAGTATGAAATCACTGCCTATCATTTTAATCCACACCTTCATTTCAAAATGATACAGTCAGTACAGAGTAAGAACCAAATGTAGAAACTACTATTGTTGTTAGTGCACATCCACATCACTTTCCTAATATTTTAATCAGCTTTTCTGTGAGTCAAGGCCATTTTAAGTAATTACAACTAGATTAATTGTGGAAAAAGCAGTCAGTACTGTACTATATATTGGTAGAGTTGTGTGAAATGGTATTTGTTGATCCCAAAAGCAATCCCTGCAGCTGTGGGAAAGCACTGGGATAGGAAGAAGAAAACTGGATATTGGTAAAGGTGATTTTTTTTTTAAATCCCATAAAGTCTTGCTATGTTCTGGGAATGAAAGAAAATGAGATTGATGGCAGGAAAGCAAGCATTGTATCTGCCCACCAAGGCAAGCATGTGGTCTTTTTTAACTGTACTGGAAGGGTGGATTGTCAGTGGAAAAGAAGCTCCAAAGAGCAGAAGCAGCCTAATGGCTCTGTACAGTATGCACAACATGCTGAAATTGACTCAGAGGGCAAAGTTAGTGTGTCCTGTAAAAGTGGCAAAGCCAGGGAGATGGGGGATACAAGGTGTTATTAATTACATATTTATTTGAAAACATTAAGGTACAATTGAAACCTTGCAATTGAAACCCTTTTATTGTACCTCTTGATTTATTTATTTTTCATCCCTGCCATGTACATACCATGGCACTTTGGTCTTCTTTGGCAATGCCAGTAAGGAGTGGAGAGCTTTTGCTTAGTTGTTATGTGCTAAAGCCCCAGTGCCAGCTGGGTGTTGTTGATTTAAAATGTGTGTTTCCTGTGCCTTTCTTATGTAAGCCGTTTTACTTATTTTTGACTCTCAACTTTCAATTGCCAGGGAAGACAAATTCTATAAACAGAATTCAGAGGTGGGATTTGAATAAAGGCAGATCTTGAGTTTTCAAAGCCATTATTCCCCACAAAGAACTAGTTTTCTCTCTGATTATATCTTTTTTTAAGCACTTCCCCATTCCAATCCTATTCATATTTCTTGGGAAGTAAATCCCAATGTGATCAGTGGAAAGGCATTTTTATTTTATTTCATTATTTTATTTTATACCCTACTTTACATTTAGGTATTTATGGTGTTCCCTTTTCCTAATTTTTCTGCAGCCACAATCCTATGAGGTACTTTGGAGTGGCCGAAAATCACCAATTGAGCTACCGTGGCTTAAATTAAAACCAGAGAGTTTTCTTAATAGTACTGAAAGCTTTTGGCCAACAAAAGATTAAATGATTGATTTCATTTTTGTTCTTTGGATTGTTATTTTGTGTTTGTTTATATTTGTGGTAGCATTTATACTACCACATTTAGAATGATTCCAGGTGTTTCATTTGTTTCCATAATTTAAAAAAAATTAACTGTTTAAAATGTCTGGATTTCACAAAAGTGCTTTGTGGCTACATAAATAATGTTGCTTTAAATAAGATTAAATAACAATAATATATTGGCCACAATCTGTTTTGTTTTATTATAATGCTCATGTTTTTATTTCTAGATCTGGAAAAATACTAGTGCCAACCTGCTTTAGGTCTACATACTTTGGGACCCTTCCCCTTAATTTATCCAAGCAGCTCTGCTCTGTCCTCTGTCTTGGGGGAAGTTTCATAAAATCTCCCAATATTTGAGCAACAGAATAATAGAGTTGGAAAGGACCTTGAAGGTTTCTAGTCCAACCCCCTGCTCAAACAGGAGACTATACCAGTGGTTGCCAACTAGTGGGCCAGGGACCACTGGTGGTCCGTGAGCAAATTTTGGTGGTCCCCAGAGAAATGTCACCCCCAAAGCAATTAATCCAGGCTATGCGGGAACACAAGGCTGTGCCACCCACATGTCCCGTGGGAACACAAGGCTTGTGTTGCTTGCATTGTGAACCACACGAGGTAATGAGGGAAGCGGGGAAGGGACGGGGGGAAAACTTGCCCCACATGCCTGGCCTGGCCACTGGGCTGCTTCTTTCCGCTTCTTCTGCACTCAAGGAAAGAAGCAACAGTCTTTCTTTCTTTCCCCCAAACTCTGCTAGAAATGAGTCTTTGGGACCCTGCAAGGCATCCTGCTCCAAGAGGTTGCATCCGTTCTGGTGGAGTTTGTGGGAGACAAGAAAGACTTCTGCTGCTTTCCTTGCATGAAGTCAAAAGTCTCCCTCTCTGAGAACGGAGCTGGAGACAGTATTCTGCGATCCCAAATAAAGAATGATCAATCGGTAGGAAAATGGGATGGGGAATTTTCCTGCAGAGTTTTTGGGGGATTTTCCCAGGGTTTCTGGTCTGCAGGATTTAAAATTACCAGTTTGGTGATCCCTGAGGTCCAAAAGATTGGTGACCCCTACTCTATACCATTTCAGTCAAATAGCTGTCCAATCTCTTCTTAAAAACCTCCAGTGATGGAGCATGTCATATCTGATGGAGCACATCAGTGATGGAGCAGGTCATTTGAACATTGTATCTGTGTGTGTATTTCTGTAATGTTAACAAAGTGGAACAGTCACCTTTTAATTTGTTTAGCAGATAGATGCTATTTTGCAGCAGCATTGTTAACATTGTGCACTTAAATATAATTAGTAGACAGGTTGGGGGTTCTTTTGCCTATGACTGGACATCCAATAATCTAGCTTTTCTTTTTTTCTTTACAAAACCTGAATTCAGAAGGGTGCTTTTAGCCATACTCTTCTTCTTGTGACATAATTCTTAGTGATAAAATCCAATTTGGGGAAATTGCACAATTGAGTGGATTTTTGTTCTGATAATTAGCTGCGTGTAGAAACCTAGGACCTTTCTCCTTGAACCTTGTTTTTCATGTAGGTAGAGGAGAATAATTTTACACAGAGACTGTTCAATCCTAAAACATCCTCTTCCCTTTAATCTGAAATGCTGCAGCCTAACTAATTGTTTTATTGAATAGTAGGGTACTTGTAGCCAAACACAACAGGGGAAGTGTAGAGATGTCTTCAGATATATGTTTGTATGAGTATATATCTCATATTTTTTTAAATAGATTTTATTTCTTTTTAGATTCATCATGATCATCTTTGCTGTCCTTGCTGCTCTGCTCCTCGCTACAGGACAATCACAAGAAGCAGACGAAACTATCACATACACGGTAAAGATGATATTTTAAAGGGAGGGAGGAAAAGAGAGAAAAACATAGTGTGTTGGAGAGTTTTCAAAAATATTGTTTTTTATTCATTCAGAAAATCTGCAGTTTTCAAGGAGATGATGTGGAAAGCCTTGCCAACAAATAACTCTGTATCTAAATCTCACTTTTACTAGACCGTTATTATTTCAGTTGCTAATTAGTTCCAGACATAATTCAGAATGTTGGTTTCCACTTTAAGTGCCCTAGATCCAATGTATCTTAGAGCAGATTCCTGTGTCCTCCAGAAATTTGGGCTGCAGCTCCAATGTATCAAAGGATAACAAGGACTACAGTCTAGTTTAGTAAATGGAAAAGATATGTAGAAAGCTGCTTTAGGGCAATACTCTTTTAAAACATTTGTTTATAGAGCACAAAGCAAATTTTATATAATTCCTGGGATGAAATATAAATCAAATGATAACACCAAACTCACCCAAGGTAGTCCAAGGAAAGTTAATTGGAAGTTATGACAGGGACAGTTTTTCCAATCTGCTGCCATCTTAGTATATGGATATATGGATTATAATTCTCATTAGTTTTGCTATTTAATAATTATGAGATACTTCTCAAAGTTACAAGATTCCCTACTAAAATGGCAATGGGAGAAGTCTGTTCTAATGTAATATACTGTGGTCTCTGTGGCACATTTAAAATGGAGAAAGCAGAAATTGAAACCTTGGGCTTTTTCTAAGTAAAAATACCTTTTCCCTTTCAAATCTAGGAGGCTGGTCTAGGCTAAGTGCTGGCACTAAACTGACATGGTTCTGATTGAGATAGAAGGTTTAAGAAATAAAATATTGTAAAAAATGATTAAAATACTGAACTCCCTAGAAAATAATTATGGGACGCATTAATGATAGATGAATCTTTGATTCCTCAAATAAATTAATTAAAAAGTATTATCAACAAAATTTCAGCAAGATCATGCAGCAGCCTAGATGTTATAGAGATTTGTGGCATATAAAAAGATTGAATGCAGAATTCCGCAGTGATAATGTTTTGTTAATTGCTATGAAAGACTGCATTTAATCTATTTTTCTTGATTTTGTTTATTTTCTATTCAGCAATGCACAGATGGTTATGAATGGGACCCCATCATGCAGCGATGCAAAGGTACATTTGGGTGTGCATTAATATTTTCATATCTATCAGAAGTACTTAGAAGCCAGATCTTGCAGATAGTAAAATTTCCTCCATAGTTTCCCCAGTGGAAGCTTTTTATAGAGAAGACAATGAGGAAAATGTAGAGGTTTTATGCAAATTTGGAGTTATATCTTTAATAACAGTAGTTGTCCCAATTGTCTGTTTTGGGTCATCTCCTGATATATGTTTTTTTTAATTTTTTGATCCAATGAGAATGATCCATATGGGTTGTTCTGTTTGGATCGTACAAGTATAAAATTTGATAAAATACATACACATGGCTGAACAGTTCATCACTCCTGTCATGAATGATGTATTTAAATAATTTATACAGCTGCCCAACTCGTGACTTGTTAGCTAAGGGAGGATTAAGAACATTAAAAGAAAATATAATAAAACAAAAACAGAACCACATTACATACAACAAAACCGAGACCATATTTCAAATATATTCCATATCATTACAAAACACACTTACATGGTGGAATTCAGGTTTTCAAGGTCTTACGAAAGACTGACAGGGTCAGGACCATCTTAATCTCAGAGCATATGCTGTTCCAAAGGGAAAGCACTTGATAGAGATGATCTGCTTCTTGGATCCCACAAGGTGACTTGTCTCATAGAAGGGATCCAAAACATACCCATCTTGCCAGATCTAGTGGGACAAAGACAAATGGAGACAGTGGGGTGGGGAGTTCTATAGATAACCAGACCTGTACCATAAATAGCTTTAGAGATAGTAGCAAGCATCTGAATTGAGTCCAAAAGCTTATAAGGAGTCAGTGGAGCTTGAAAAATTAGAAGTGTTACATGAGCCACCTCTGGCCCATGCCAAGAGAAGGCAGATTAAAGTCACTCAACACTATCAGTCTTGGACTCCATTGCTTCGACAAGGAAGCTACTATGTGGCAGGAAAGCTGGTACAGTGGCAGCATCCCATCTGATCCTTCCGGGTGACAGCTGATTAGAAAATGTATTCCAGGATTCTACCTCTCCTTCCTTCTTTCATTCTAAAAAATAATTAGAAATGTTGTAATAATTAAGTACATCTACTCCTCTTTTTTAGAGTAGTGTTCATCTTCCTATATACTGTAGTTAGAGCACAGGTATCCAACTCAAGGCCCGCGGGCCGAATCTGGCCCTTGACATTGGATCCAGCCCGCACGGCCATCCTGGATATTGTAGGGGGCCAGCCCACTTCACTTCAGCCTGGCCCATGCTCTTCCAGCAGGTGCATGTGCATACAGGAGGCAGTGGGCACACACACACACAGGCCCAGCCCACCCCATCCTGGCATGCACATGTGTGCATAGGAGGCAACGGGCCAGCATTGCCTCATCCATATCTCACCTATCAGCCACCACCATCACCTCCTCCTCGTGGATCAGGAGACACAGCCGCCACTGTTGTCAACAGCCCGCTCCCCCTCTCTGGCCACTGCCCTGAGATTCTTGTCCTCCCCAGCTTGCTCTGCACCCAGTAGCAGAGGCCACTCCAGCCGTAGCCTCATGGCTATCCAGCGGCCTCCCCCTCTTTGCCGCCCCCACCACACCAGCCTTCACCTGGGTGGCCAGCCTGAAGTTCCATTCTCCAGTCACTGCCCCACGATTCTCACACTCCCCAGCCTGCTCTGCATGGAGGCTGCTTCAGCCACAGCCTAGGGGCTCCCCAGCAGCCACAATGCATTCCACCTCACCCTCTCCTCGAGCAGGGGGCTGCTGCCACTGCCAGCATATGCGCCTGTGAACTCCTCCTCCTTCCTGCCACCGGCCCACAGAGGACAAATAAAACACTGGTCCAGCCTATGGAAAAATCAAGTTTGACACCCCTGAGTTAGGGGGACACTTATTTACAAAATCAAATATGTAGTTTAAGAGTGTACTCAAAATCAGAATGCATTGCCTGTCTACTGTATTACAGTATATGCAGGGTTTGTTATATTACCTGTTTAAAACCATAGGCACATCTCTAAATAGGGAATGTGAACTTGTCATCTGATGCTGGCTTAATTTTATACTTTTCATTCATCACTCCACTTTTTATACTAACTATTGATAATTTCTTGAACACTACTGTTTATTTGAGATTATTATTCATGACAAATAACACAGAGCTCACTCTGATTAATAACTCCTTTACTTTTTGTCATTAATAATCACAGATATTGATGAATGTGAAATTGTGCACGAAGCATGTAAAGGCGGAATGAAATGTGTTAATCACTTTGGAGGATACCTCTGTCTGCCCAGAACAGCCCAGATCATTGTCAATAATGGCCAAGAAGAAACAGCATCAGACACTGGTAGCAGAAATGGTAATCCCATCATCCGTCGGACACCTCCAGATCGGGTACCATCTCAGATACAGTGTGCAGCTGGGTACGAGGCAAATGATCATAATGTGTGCCAAGGTAAGGAAGCTGTTTCATAGCTCGGTGAAAGAAAACTGGAGCAATAATAAATGTGGCCCTAGTGTATAATGAATTTAGGTGATAAAAATGAATGTAGGGTAACAATCAGAAATGGTACAAAGAAAAACAATATAATTAGTATTGCAGCATGTGGTTGAATCATATCCCCACATTTTAATACTGCAGGTCAAGACACTATATACAAAGGTATTCCAAAATCTAGAACCCAGATAAACATCCTCACTGATGAATAGTCTGCCACCTAGACGATAGATGGTACTGATCCAAGGAACTCATCTGTGTTACAGAAAAAGAAAAGTAGTATGGGAAAAGTGGGAGATTTCAAATACTAAAAGAGCTGTAGTTCAGATTCTAAAAGAACTGTGGTGGTACAATGTTCAGAATGCAGTATTGCAGCTGACTCTGCCCACTGCTGGGAGTTCAGTCCTGACGGGCTTGAGGTTGACTCATTCTTTCATCCTTTCAAGATTATAAAATGAGAATTGCTGGGAGAAATATGCTGACTCTGTATTCATAGGTCACACAAGCCTACCATGTATCATGTTCTCTTATAACTATGGGTTATAATTACACCGGTTTTAAGATGAGTTAATGCACTCAGTTTGGGCCTGTTAAATCATATTTAAAGGCAAAAGGTTGAGATTTGTGAAAATTATTCAGGTGTTAAATGCAACTTATTTTAGTATAAGGAATCTCTCTAAAAATTGTAATTTCTGCTGTTAATTTAGAAAAGTGTAAATTAATTTGAAAATAACTTTTTGCTAAATAAGATTTGCACTGTAAAGAAGGGTACAAGAAAACAAACTACAACAGTATGAGATTTTTTTTATATTGCACTAGATAACCTCTGCCCATTATAATTAGATGTGGAGATATTGAATTTTGAGTTTTGTTTTTCTCAAGCCAAAGAATGAAAACGAATAGCCTGAGATTTGGATGGGTTGCTGATGTTTGCTTGGATCCCCATTGGCTTTTCTTCAGCAAGTGTTTATGAATCAAAAATGGAATTTGGCTCCAGGTCTTTTCTTTCACAAAACGACACACACTGTGGGAACAGATGTTGCACTATTTATACTATCAATTAAATGGGAAACAGCCTCCAGAGTTTCCAACAATTTTGCAACCCTTATTCCTAATTGTGCAACCCAAAAAAATTGCTAACATCCTGGGAATTTTGGAAGGAAAAGTGATAAAAATAGATTTATGTACTATATACACTAACAAATGTTGGTTACCTTTTTAAAATGATGGCAGGCTTTAACCTGGATCCAATTGCACAGATATGAACAAAAGATTAGTGCCAAAGCATAGTAGCAGAATAGGATTGCTAATACCAGAGGTCAGAGTACATAGTCCAAATTCAGTAATAGAACCTCTGCTTACAAGTTTAGGTAATGGGAATGATTATTCTCTGAGCTTCTAGCATTGCTTGTCACTGGACTAGATAAATGGATAGATAATGGATAAATTGTCTGACTTGGGAAAAAGCAGCATTCATGTTCCACCTACCAATACATAGAAAAGGTCCAGAGGATATCAGAAAGTAGGTCTGAAAGAGTCTACCTTCAGCCAGTAAAGACAGTCCTAAGCCACATAGTTCAATATAATAAAAGGTACCTCCACATGTCATAGTGTCAGAATCATTAAAAAAACTAGTTCTGAATATTAAAAAACAATGTTTCCTTTCCTTTCCTGTCCTGTCTTGTCCATTGCATTCCATACCGTCCCATTCCAAAACTTGTGAGGTGTACCTCCTATCTACATTGTACACTTTTATTGATTTTCAACAGTAATGTGTCCCAACCCCCCTCAGATATACTTTCCTCAAGAAAGTGTCCTGTGGAATTTATCTGGGCAGGGATCAGGAGACAGGCCGATCAATCACCATCAGAATAGAAGGAATAATTACCAAAATAGTTGAAATGTGTGACATTATCATAGTAATTGCTATTTTTCTTAATTGCTTCACAATGTGAGCATGAAACTTCAGCATTATCTGTTTTATCAACTACAGCTCTACACCATAGCACCCATACTTAAATAACTTCCAGTGAAGTCATATAATTATGAGCCGTGGTGGCGCAGTGGTTTCCATGCAGTATTGCAGGCTAATTCTGCTGACTGCCAGGGGTTTGATCCTCACTGGCTCAAGGTTGACTCAGCCTCCCATCCTTCCGAGGTTGGTAAAATGAGAACCCAGGGCTGTAATGCACTGTTAAGCGATATATAAGCCTAAGTGCTATTGTTATATAATGCTCTTCACACGTGGGCTGGTCTTGACACTCTTTGAAAGCTTCACTTAGCCAAAATCCAGCTGCAAGATTTCTGACTGATTGCTTCAGGTGATGTATTACATCTGTTGAGACTTGAGTTGACTGCCTATTTTTTAACAAATTACGATCAAACTTTTGATGTTTATATTTCAGGCCAATCATAGGGAAATTGGAGTGGGGACAAGAAGGGTGAAATATATTGGGAGATTGTGAGCTGCCATCAGGAAATGGGATCTTTGGCATATTTATTTATTTAGTAAATCTATAGGTGACCCCATTTCATATACATGACTCTGAATAGCTCACAATTAAAACAAAATAAAAACAAAAAGAAGCATAATTAAAAACAATAAAAATTACATTAAAATAGTAATACTCTTAATCACTCATAATGGGCTCACCTGTGCTATCAGGGCTATTAAATGAATTTGGGGACACATAGATTGTTGATAAATATAGGGAAATTTATGGTAAAAATAAAGAGGGGCAAATATTAGAAGAAAAGTAATGTTAGGTGAATATATGTTGAAAGAAGCAAAAATGCCTGTGTATCACTTTTTTTAGATAAGCAAGAATTGAATATGTCAGAGAAAAATCAGTTAGAGTACTTAAATCCATGTGGTAAAAGAAGAAACAGTCAAGAATGAATGGGTACTAAATATAGGTCAAATATAAAAGGGAGCGAATATTGTGACTCAAGTGCATTGAAGTAGATTTGGTTATATAGACAGAATAAATCAAGATCAAAGCTGTTTTTCCTGAAAGTTAAGAGCATGATGAGCTCTTAACAGTTGTTAAAAACTCTTAATGTTAACAACATAAAATGTATGGACAAGATGTAAATAATAGGCTAACAGCTGTTAATAACCCATTCACATACAGGAAGCAAAATAGTAGAAAATCTTGAAGTTACACAAGTCCTTGAAAGCTTCACTAATTGTTCATATAATAAAATTACCGCTACAAACACATGATTTTTTTCAATTACGAAAGATCAGACTTCAACAGAAAATGCTAGTAACATAGAAAGCACTGAAATCATTGTATAAGAAATGAAATAATAAATATCAACACTTATGGAATCAACTCATAAAATTAAGTTTTTAACCAATGGTTGGAAATCCTTTTTGATGGCCAGCTGCAGACAATCTCTCAAAATTCAAATGTTACAATCCTAAAATCCTTTCAAAGACTCACTTGCAACTGATGTACAGTATGTTCTAATAATCAGAATGGATAAACAAAAATATTGTGTACATATTTGAGAAAGGTATATTTTCTATACTGTGAAGAGTTACATTTTACCTTATCCAGTATAGGCTTGTATGAACTAAAAATACAAAAGGGATTTGCAAATTATAGAGTGATTGGGCAGCTTCATCTACACATGGTAATTATGAAATAGCTTCTGTACTAATTAACATTTTTGTGTTTCATTTGTGTCATCTTGTTGCTCTCAAACTGTAGTAAAAGCATTATCTTATTGTAAGTTTAGTGGGGCTATTTCCATTTTTTGTTATGTACAATTAGATAATATTGTGCATAATACTGAAACTCAAAAAAGATGCCATGGAAAACAAATGGAAAGAAAGAAACAAATTGAACTAGTCGCTTATTTTTATAAATTACAGTGATCCAATAATACAGTATCTTTGAGCAATTGGAAGGCTTTTCTACTCATAATGAAAGCTCTAATGAAGTAGTGAATTGAGCAGTGCTAAAAGGACATCATAATGAAATTAAGGTGTAGTCAGTCCATAATATTCCATTTGGTTTTTCACTACTATGATCAAGCTATGTTGAACTGCCCCGGGGACTGTATTTGGGTCATGAGTTTTTTTGTTTGGTTGGTTTTGTACTTTGGCACAGCATATTGATTCCCCAAGCCTGGCCATCTTTCTGTAAGAAGGGCACTTTTTTGGACACATGAAATATGAAAAAATGATATGGTAATAAATCTTACTTACTTTACTTTACATAATATGCTTGCTTTGTTTTTGATCTAAGGGCTCCTGCTGTTTTACTGTTTTGTGCCCAGAATTGCTATTACAATATGGACAGCTATATCAATCTTTTAAATATAAATAAATAAAACTAAAAAATCTCCTGAATGCTGCAATCCAGCGACATGGTGTGTGAATTATTGTGGTGAAGCTCACACAATCTGATGACCTTTCGAATCTAAAAGGTCTATTTTAAATCTTCAAATTCTAAAATAAACTTTCAGGTGTTTATCAAATTCCTTAAAAACATACATAAAGATTAAACTAGATGGCACATTCTGTTTTTAGATTTTCTATGCATGAATTACAACAACCATAAATTTGGATGCCTACTCCAAGATATTCTCATTGTGGCAGGGTAGTGTTCCTGGGAGGGATGATCTTTACCTCAGCTTTTATCTGAAATAAAATAATTTGGCAGCTTAATATATTCCATTTCTGAAAACATCAAACCAAACAGAGCAAAACTGTTGCAAAAATAGTTTTTAAATAGACACAATAAAGCAAACTATGTTTAAAAACAATTTATAAAAGAATTAAAAACAGTTCAGTAAAAATACCAAGGAAAACAATAGTCAAACTTAAAAGCAAAGCAGCGGTGGCAGTGAGATATGTCTTCCTATATGCGTCCAGTTGTTTTCTAGAAGCTAATATAGAGACCACTTGAAAGGAAGTTCCATAACTGGAACACTATAATAAAGAA